TCACAAAAACCCCAAAAAACCTTGGTTTCTTTTCTTTAATAAGCTGAAAGTGTTTAAACAAGTAGCCCACATCCTAAGAGAAACCATTGTTCTCTTAAATACCTTGGTTGGTTGTGTTAACAACTTATCAAGTGGACCTTCAGTTTTGCTTTGTGCTTCAGAACAATGACTGCTGAAGATTAAGTTTCTTCTTGCCACCTTGTTTTGACTAACTAGTATTTGGATACTTCACATTTTAATCCTCTGCTTCCTGACTGGCAGAATTCTATTCAGAGTAAACATTCTTTTCTTGGTGGGATCAAGAGTATCTAGGTTAAAATAATTCAACGTGGAATGGTCAGTGTTATTTCTGGACCAGGACCATGTGTACACTGCCTTATGCTTGTCAATTTTCCTGTCCCCTCTACAGGGACAGAGAGAGTGGTGACCTTACTGCTTGTGTTGTTTTGATATAAGACCTTAGAGACAAACCAAAAGCCTATCGTTTTAGGCTTGCTATCACCCTACCTCTAGGATGACTCCTAGATGTTATTCAAATAGCTCTAACTATGAAGACATTTCCAGTGAGAAACTGAGCCAAGATATTTTGTGATTTTTATAAATCCATAATAGTCTAAAGCTACCTCAGAAACTACCAGTCTTTCATATTCCCTAAGGTTTCCTTTAAGCAAATATTTCTTTAGACTTACTAAAGCTACTTATTCTAGTGGTTTTGTGTGTGTGTGTGTGTGTGTTTAATGGTTGGGGGTCATGGCTTAGGACTTGGGCTCAGAGCAAGGATGAGAATTTATTCTCAGCTCAGCCACAAAGCACTGTTTTCTCGAAGTGTCCTCAGTTTTTCTCACGTTTCCAATAAAGATATCTAAATAGATTTTCTTTGAGGTTTATTCCTGCATGAACATTTTCAATGGAATATGATTACATAAAGAGGATGAAAATAGCAAAATTAAGAAACCTAGCGCAAGTGATATTGAGAATAACAAGGTTCTGAGAGGTGGCTGCAGATATGTTTCTTAACCTTGTTTTAAAATAAAAGGACTGCTCAAAAGTACTTTCTGTCCCCTCATCATGACTTGGTCCCCCCAAATAGCAGAACTTGGGCATTTTTGCCTTTCTGCTGCCCTCTACCGGCCTGACAGCATCTTTGCTTCTGGTACAGGTAACTGGCTCCAGACCTAGATTGGTCAGCCTACACTAAGTGATAAAGGAAGCATTGAAAATGTGTGGGTGCTACCACATGGAAACAAAGGCATCATCAAGAGTGAAAAACGACAGAAGGTCATTACAGTCCTCCGTAACCTCCACTTTCCCGGGCGAAAACAGGGATTAGGAACAAATGGAAAGCATGGGACAGGACTGCCCAAATGAATACTTGGTTAGTCACTTAGGACCTGCTGACCTGACTTTACCCTTTCTATAACTTATCTGCTTGCATTCTTGCAGTGGTTCTGAATGTCAGGTACTCATATCTCCATTCTCTAGTTAGAAAATAAACTTAAAGAGAATTAGGATTCACACTTGCAGTTTTATCTAAAAGTGTCCCCACAGGCTTTACAACAAAACAAAACAAACAAACAAAAACCCCTTTCTACCCCTCCCAGGACTTCAGCAGAAGGATTGAAAGATAGATGAGCCCTGAGGGATGTGCCATCTTTTCTGGGTATCTCAAATCTCAGACAGTCACATATCAAGTCTTGACACCAGTATCATCACTGTTCTTGTTAGTAGCTTTTAGGTTTTACCCAGGTACTTGCTTTTCTAGATTACTGGGAAAGGAGAACTTTCCCTGTCCATGTTTCTACCTTGGGTGGCAAAGCTTGGGAAGTAAACATGACTCCATCAGTTGGTGTGTGTGTGTGGGGGGAGTGTTGTCTATTGTGGTCCGTAACAGCTCAGCTGCTCTAGGCAGTCAACAACAGCTAATTAGTTTGCCATTCTAGTTAAGCCTCCGGTCACAAACTAGTAGAAGGTACAAATGAGGCCTTCTTCACCATAATTGCCTAATTCCAGCAGATAATGATTTCCTCTCAGGAACATCAGTGTTATGTAAAAATTGCAGAGGCAGTTCTGTGACCTTGAGTAAATCCACTCTCCCTGGAGTCTGGTTTGGGTGCCATCAAAGTGGTGTGGAGGAGGAGAGGCACACTGACCATGGAGAAACCAAGATTGCTTGTTGGTCACGAATCATTCCACTGGTACCCTACATTGCTTTTGGGGGAAGATTTTGCTCCACTTACAAGGTAGACACATGTACCCTTGTGACAAAAACATCAAAGGAAAAGAACATTGGCTTCTACTCTCACCCCAACTACAGTGATCTGCTGATGACACATGGAGCTGGGGACGGTAGCACCTCCCCACAGGGCCCCACTGAGTGTCTGAGCAAAGTCCTCAGGTTCCATGGTATTGTACTCACTAGGAATGCCATGCATGTGCTCACAAAAATATGCCCTCACCCTCCTCAGGAAGTTGTATAGAAAAGAGGAACCCATTCCATACTTCCATCTTTGTTTGGGCCAGTTATAATGAATCTGAGTTTCTAAACAAAACAACAAGAACAACAAGAACAACAAAACATTTGTTCCTTGGAGAAATAATTTTAGTAGGGAGGAACTTCTACTATTCTTCCTTTGATGACGATCAGGACCCAAAGTGTTGAACCAATACACTGTGACATCATCACAAGCAGACAAGACAGAGAGAACCAGTGAAGAGAGAACTGATAACTTAATTGTTATTAAAATATGATACCCCACCACCACCACTTGATAGAATGCTCAAGAAAGAAAGCAACATTAAGTATTTCAGAATCATCTGTGATGTGGTGAACATAGAGAGCCAGCCAGCATATTGGTCAAGGCATAGCTAATTTTCCACAAAGTATATTCACTGAAAATCATGTAAGAGCCTCTTCCTCCTCGTCTTCTCGTTCCTCCTCCTCTTCAGATTATGGTTTTGGATTTAAAGAAGATACTTAAACCAAAAAATTGGTCTAACTTAGAGAATGTGCTAATTTTCTTCTGGTAATAATTTTAGAAATCATAGGTTTTCTTTTCGGGGCAATTATTTTAATGAATCAATTGAGGTTTCAAGAAACAATTAAATGAGCTCAATTTGGTCGCGAGTTCAGCAAAATGAGATCATCCTTCTGGATTTGGTTCAGTTGAGGTCAAGTCTCCTATCTTAAGTGGACTAATATGCTAGGGATAATTTTCTTTTTATGTCCTTTACTTCTTTTGTATTGTTTTCCTCTAATATCTGTGGGTCCTTTTCCTCTCTCTCTCTCTCTCTCTCTCTCTCTCTCTCTCTCTCTCTCTCTCTCTCTCAGCATAAACATGTGTGTGTGTATGCACATGGAGACCAGACATCAATGTCTGGTATCTCTGTTAACCATTCTCCATCTGATGGTTTTAGATAGGGTCTCCCAATGAGACCCTGGGCTTCCTGATTGAGCTAGGCTGACTGGCCAGTAAGCCCTAATATCATGCTATTTTACTGCCCTAGCACTGGGATTATAGGTGTCCCATGCCACGCCCAGAGTCTCATGCAAATACTAGAGTCCTCCTGTTTGTATGACAAGTACTTTATGAACTAAGCCATTTCCTGGGTCCCAGGTCTAGGTCTAAATGAATATATTCACTTGCTCTTAGCTCTCCGAGTTCTATTGACAAGTAAATGGAATAGTAATAACTTTCCTTCTTACATAAAACTTGTTAGTAATCTGTTAAACTCCATCGCCACAGTCACCTGGCAACAGCCAGGTATGCACCTCTCCACAGTTACCTGGCAACAGGCAGGTAGCCCTGCCCACTATAAAAGGACTGCTTGCCCCCCTCCTCTCTCTCTTGCTCCATTGACCCATGCCTGCAGGTTGTCATCTCCCCTCTCCCCTTCCCTTCCCCCTCTCTCCATGTGGTCATGGCCGGCCTCTACTCTCTCTCTGCTCCTCTCTCCTCTCGCTCTCCTACTCTCTTAATAAACTCTCCCTCATGGAACCATCTGGTCTGCTGTGATCTGTCCAAGCTGTGTGTGAAAACCTTTCAAAACTGAGCACTAATTAATCAGGAATGCATCATTTTATATTTTTAAGCATGTTTTTAATTTTGTGTGTGTGTATGTTGCTGTATATGTACCACGGCATATATGTGGCAGTCAGAAATCAATTTATGAGAGTTGGTTCTATTTCCACCAAATGGGTACTGGGGCTTGAACTCAGGTTTAGGTTTCGAAATCATCACCTTTATCTGCTGAACCTTATTGCCAGTCCCAATTCTTCTTTTTTTCTGGTTTTGTTTGTTTGTTTATTTTTGACAGTTCTCACTAGGATGCTTGGAATGGCCTCGGACTTGCTTTGTAGTGGCCCAGGCTGGTCTTGAATTTGCAATCCTCCCTTAGTATGAGGGTTGTAAGCCCGTGGGAGTACATTTGGCTTTGCCATTCCACTTTAACTAAGCTATGTTGCACTCAGACAATGCAGAGAAGGCTAACACAACAACAGAGGTAACATTGTATGAGCAATGAAGCTCGCCAGATACAAGTGTCTACAATGATGCTAAACCAAGCCCAAACACAGAGTCAAGTCTGTAGTACACCAGGAAATATTTCACAAGGAATAGCAGAAACGCAAATCACAGGAGACAGCATTTCTTAACCTGTGGGTGGTGACCCTTTTGAAGGTCAGATGACCCTTTTAGAGGGCCACCTTAGATCATCTGAAAACACAAATATTTATATCATGATTCATAACAGTAGCAAAAATTACAGTTAGGAAGAACCAGTGAAAATAATGTTATGGTTGGGGGTCACTACAACACAAGGGACTGTATTAAAGGGTCACACTATTAGGAGGGTTGAGAGCCACTGTGTGAGACCAATGGCAACGTAGAAACGGAAAGGGAGAAATTCATTTTAGACTCATAGCATAACATGGGTGTTAAGAACAGGGCACAGGGCTAAGGCTTGGTAAACAGGAGACGAAGAAGCTCCCACAGGTCTCTTACCTGTGATGGTGGCTTTGTTGATGGATGGTTGGTTGCACATGGGTGATCTTCTGGCAAAGAAAGAAAACACAAAGTAGTAAATGTATGGTGCTTTTTGACTTCAGTATCCTAAGTTGTTTTGAGTACACTATTCTAATCTAAGGAATTATTTTAAAGCTGTGACATAAACCTAGTGACGTCATTCAGATTAGCCAGTAAGATTCTTAGATGCCCCTTCACTGTAGCTCGGATAGAAAACGGGGAAAAAGAAAAGAAAAACAGTCAACTTAAATCTCATAGCTAGGAAAGTGAAGGACACTGGATTAAACGGACAGAAACTTTATAGCATGTGCCCAGAGAGGGTATTCTTATTGTCTGGCTGGATTCAACTAAGTTTGGGTATGCAGAACAAAATAGAGTTCTGGTTGTGAAAATGTGCTCAGTGTATAATAGTTTCCCCAGGTACAGTATTAGAAACTTATTCCTGGCGTACAGTCTCATGTTTTCTTATACATTGCCAGGAGTGAATGATTCCTCTAAACTATGGTGTAAATAGAGACAGAATGTATGTAACTGTTTTTCCTTTCTGCTTTGTTCATTGAGAAGCCTCTCTGGCACATTTGTCAGAGAAGTCTATTAATAGCTTGCCTAAACAGATGCCTTAGAAATCTCAGTGTCCTATACCACACCAATGTAGTATACTTGAGGAGATTCCTGTTGGTATTCTTCACTGCTTTTCAGTTGTTTGACGGCTCCCACAAGATGATTGTAAACACCCTTAGGAAATGCCTGCTGTACCACTAACCTGCATCCCCTATCAAGGCCAGCACAATGCGTATAGTATTCATTTGGTCAGTGCTAACCAAGTTAAGTTGAAAAGAAAAATCATTTATAAGACATCCATTAAACGATTGGGAAATAGAGCTTTTTAAGGCTATTACCCAAAGCTGGAAGCCTTTAAAGGACAGAAATCTTTAAATATCCTTCAAGAAATGCTTATGTTGCAAGATGTCTGCAGAACACCTAAGGTCTTTTTAGTGTGTGTGCATGCACACACATGCACATGCTTTTTTCTAGTGGTTAGGCCTTACTAAGGGCTTGCTGTGGGCCAGATCCTGTGCTGTATACTTGAAATCTCACTTAATCCTTATGACAAGGGTGAAGGCAGGTGAGCTGATTGTGTGTGCATATGTGTGTGTGTGTGTGTGTGTGTTGCTAACTAAGAAAGCAATAAGTTTTGAGAAGTTGAACGTTTTAGGGCACTGAAGCTGAAGTTTGAACTAGTACACTGTGACACTAACATTACACTGTGCTCTGCTGTCGACTATTTGGAGTGTGCATGTGTGTATGCACGTGTGTGTGTGTGTGTGTGTGTGTGTGTGAGAGAGAGAGAGAGAGAGAGAGAGAGAGAGAGAGAGAGCTCGACAGTCACACATATGTGCAGATTGCAGCTAGCCCTTTCCATTGATCCTGCTGAAAGGATGTGTCTCCTGCCTGGGCTGGAGGATACCCGGGGAAAGCCGTCCTAACATCCTGTCTGCTTTGACAGGCTCCACTCAGCCTCCCAGCTGCATCATGGTGCTCAAGTTTACTGTTGCATGTTTCACATTTAAATTTTGTTTGTGTCTGAAAATGTACCTAGATTTATGACAGAGTTATTTTATATTTTTATTGTAAACCAAAAAGTGGAAATGTGAACTTAATAAAATGCTTCATTACACATGATTTTATTGTTTTAGAAGGCTGTTCTGGTCTAGGTAGCATGGTTATGTTCTTGCTGAAGGTTTCTTATGTATAAGTGACAAAACATGTTTTGGGTGGCATTGCTGTAGCCCCGAGTTTAGTCAAACTACTTATATATTGATAAGAATTTTCAGTCCTTGTTCTGTAAAAATTTAGAAAGTAGTCCCTTGGCATGGTGTTAGCAAATGAAGTTGTTAAGCTTTTGTACAGTTGTGGAGAACCAAATCATTGTCTTGTTACTATTCGTCTTTTCTAAAATCAGTTCAATGGCTTACATGTGGGAACCTGGCACCCAAAGAGTAACAGTAATACATAAATATTGACCATCAGATCCAGGAGGATGTTGCTATATCATTTAGTGAAGAATAGGTTTTAAAAATTTCAGTGATTAGCTTAGATTACCCACCTGGGGTCAAACTTAGTATGGGTTCTCCCTCAAATAGTTCCTTAAAGAAAATAAAAAGGAACATAACCCTCCTCAAAGAGAGATGGTAAACTTGGAAATGTTGCAGTGGTGCTAGAAGTACACATCAGGCAGATGCTGAGCCCTCTGGATCCACAGTCCTCAACCTCTGGGATGCAACCGCTTCGGCAAAATAGTTTTTACAATTCCTAACAGTAGCAAAGTTACAGTTTATGAATTAGCTTGGGATAGAATGTACATCTCTTCAGAGACACAACTGTCAGTGTGATGCCCTCACACCTGTCAGATCAACTGTCACCAATTTAAATGCTGCTACCTAGGTGATGGTATCTGAAGGAAACTTAAAGGAACTTTGTTTCTTCCAAAAGCCCCAGAAGCTGCTGGGGTCAGTATGGCATGGTACAGCTGGCCGGGCTGTACAGGAATCGCCACCGGCAAGGAATAGATTCCTCAAAGCACACCCTTGGGTGCAAATGCTTTTTGACTTCTTGACTCCTGCAACGCTTGCAGGGTAGGGGTTAGGAAGGGAACTAGGAATACAGATTCAAACAAAGTACAAGCCATGGACAGTTCCCAAGGCAAGTAGAACCTGAGATGGTCCTGGGAGCGAAACCAATCGAGGCTCGGTCCTCCCAGGTGAATTCTACCCAGGGTATCACCGCATTTGCTTTTGCTTCTTCTGTATTTCAAGCCTCAAGTGTCACTACAAAGTCATTACAGAAAATAAAGTAGACAGCGTATGGTGTGGGGCAAACAAGCAGACAAGGGAGGTGATTCAGAGTTGTCTAATGTGTTTAGTGCAAGTTGAGAAGACACTACAGGTTCGGCTGAAAGAGGAGGGAGGGAGGGCAGCTTACTTGCTGGGTGCTCGATCTTGCAAATTAGTTAATGCAGCAAAGTTGTTTCGTACAGTTCGCAGGCTGGCCAAGACCTATAATAAAAAAGAGAGAGAGAGAAAGAGAGAGAGAGAGAGAGAGAGAGAGAGAGAGAGAGAGAGAGAGAGAGAGAGAGAGAGAATTGCTTAGTGTTCTTGATCTGGGGCAGGTTGGGTGCAACCATTTTTTTCTTTTTTTAAAGAAAAAAATCATGGTGCTCACAGCTCAGTTTTATATACCATTATGGAATCTTCCAGGTCTTAGTAAAATTTTTAATCCTGGTTAGGAAAACCAGGAAGGTTAAACTTCCAGCACTCTGTAGAACCCCTTCTCACTGGCTTTGTTTCTGGCAACAGCAGTGGTATTATTCCCCAGTGCTTAAGTCCTCAATACAATGTCCCAGCAATGCACATGCAAAATGCTGTTGCATTTCAGGCTATTACGAAATATTATAATACAAAATACCATGAAAGTCTCAGTTTAGTGATTAAAAGAAAGTAAAACTAGTCTCTAATTCTCTTAGAAAACTTCGTCAAGATTCCCATGAACTCAGGACATCAGGTTAAGTAAATCTTTAGTTGTTTTTCCATCTTTCCATATGGCTAAGCTAGCTAGTTAGTCCACAGGTATTCTTTGCCTCTGCCTCTGGGGGATTGTGCACATTGTGGAATATAAGAAGTCCCCAGAAAGTTGCTGATCACAGAAGACGCTAGTGCTGTGTACAAAGGGTACCATTCTGTACTCTGTCCAGCATGAAGAAAGTGTTCAATAAGATGGTGTTGAAGAAATGAATATATGGAAGCAATATATCTGGATGTATGTGGATATGCCAGGAAGTGGATGCTCCCACCTCTGATAGCTTCTTCTTTACTCTAACTCAGAAATAAAAGATGCCTAGGGAATGGGAGTAAGCCACAGAGAGAAGTTACAGGAGCCTGATGACCCTCCTGTGCTCTTAGAATGGGCTATGTTCTTCAGGGGTGGACTCTACAGTAAGATTAGATATGTCAGTAAGAACTCAGTGCCTGTAAAGAGTTCACGTGTCGTGAGATGACTTCACATGTCCTGGTATAAGTCATGTGTTAATGCACACACTGAGTAAAGAGAGTCATGTGTTAAATGCACCTTCTGTATAAAGAGAGTGCTATCTACCCATTAGAGTTGCTTTGACAGTTAACAGAAACTACAGGTTAATGCCAATGACATTGCTTAAGTATGTGGTGACTGTGTGTTTATTATGGAAACTTCCATTTAATTATCTGGCCCACGGGACATTTGCTTAATGCTTATCAGTGGCAATACACAGAATCCTCAGTTTTCTAACTGACCTAGGGGTTTGAGAACTGTGCCCCGAGTTTCTTCATTGGACAGTGGTCCAGACGAAAGCCACTCTGTGTCTGTTTTCTTGGAAGCTGATGGGAACTGTTCAAGTCAAAGGGAGCTGTTTATGCTCTGCAGTAGTGGTGACCTTCAGCGGTCCCCCTGAAGGAGTTCATGGAGCCTCCTAGTAAGTCAGCCAATCATTGGAAAACCTGGCTCATTATCACACACAACTCTGAAAGGTCACACAGCCTGCGATGGAATATCCAAATAACTAGCCGCTGACGTCAGACCGTAGTGTCTTTCATGAGGCATGAAATTCTGAATGATGCAGAAATAAGAAGATTAATGATCCAGTCGTGAAATCACGACGACTTAATTTTTATTCTAAGATGTGAACAGCAAACATGTTAATAAAGTACTTAAATACAATGATTGCATCAGCTAGCTACACCCTATTCTAGGTAAAGATTTTAACCTCAGAATTTTGAGATCTTTATCACAAAACACTTTTGTGTTTACCCAACAGCATTTGGCCATTGGGTAGTAGAAGTAGTAATTTAGTATTTCATTTCTGTAGGAAAAGTTTTAAAGACAATTCATAGTTTATAATCATTTGAAAAAAATAGTCTATTCAGGGAAATATTAATTTATGAATGAAATCTTTTCTGTAGAGAGGTTTGTTTTGTTTTTGAGATGGGGATTACTATATAGCCCTGTCTGGCTTAGCACTCCCTATATAGACTCTACTGGCCTCTAATTCAGAGATTTGCCTGCCTCATTCCTGGATTGCTGGGGTTAAAGGTGCTTACTACCATACCTCATCTGTATTTCATTTTTAACTTTTATTATACTAATAAGATATTAAACTGAATTTTGGGGGGTTTAGTATGTACATTTTATGTATTTATTTTAAATAATACCTATGTTTTGGATATTGAAGAATTTAAACAACAACAACAAAAAAGTTGTCAAGTAAATTGTACTGTGCTCCATAATCTGGGTAAAATCAAATGATTGCTATTTTGGTGGACAGACAAATGGATTGGGGGAGGGACATTTAAGCAGTATTTGAAGCATTGACACTATTCTATTTCTTAACTTCATTTTACTATTATTATTTCTGCTTTAGATATTTACTGCATATATAGTATGACACATTTCAAAATGAAAGTGAGGGACGAAACCTCCCCCAGGCTCTGACTGCCTGCCTGTGGCCTGCTGAATTTTAGCTTGTATTTTTGCATATGAAATTGTACATTCTGTTGTAGTAAATGACATTGAAGACACAAGGATGTAAGTACTAAAACACTGCTTTGGTTTGTGGCAGGACAAAGATGGCTTTCTATTTAAATGCTAACAATATCTTCCACTCTGTAAGTTATATGATCCTGGCAGAAATATAAATAGAAGTTTCCCAGATGAATCTGTCACACATGAGGTTGCCTCACATGCCACACATGAGGGGCCTGAGTGACTAACTGACATTCTTTCTAGAAATGTCATTAAGTTCTTCTCTTCAACACTCTTGTCCTTCAGGACACTGGAGGGAAGCAAGCCTTGAGCGAGTTAGAAGAGGAAAAGAGGAAACGGGTTTACTAGAGCCCCTGGGTGAAGGGCCAAGTTCCTAGATTCTTTTGTGTTCCCGGACAGCTTTCTGCCATAGACTCAGACCAGCACTGGAAGCTGCAGCTGGGCTCTACAGAGCCTAGAATTTTCTGGCCTCTTTAAAGCTTATTATCAAAGGGTCTCTATCGTTTCTTCCAGATGGTTTAGGCTTAAAAATTAAAGTCATTTCTTTCTATTTGGCCACCTCCAGTAAGTGTGTAATTGCTTAAGGTAACAAACAAACAAGCAAAAGAATGATGAAAAATTCTAAATCTTGATAATGAACAGTGCTAGCACTACAGGAAAATATTGTTCATGAACTAGGCCACAGCGTGGGAATATCCATGCACACAATTCTCAGGTTCTTCCAGACTGCTTTCAAACGTTTCTTAGCCAATAGGATTCACTGATGTTGGCAGGAAAAAAAAAAATTCTGGCTTCATTAAACAGTTAAAGTGAACGGATAAAATGTTTTTTGGGATTTTTTCAGGCTGTGCACAGTATATGCCACTAGGTGGCAGTACAGCACAGGCTGTGACATACAGGGCCTGGAGGAGATGATGTGTCCTTGTGAGGTCAAAGACTCTTAGGAATTGCTTCAAGAAAACAAAACAAAACAAAAAAACCAAACAAAATTAGTGGAGAATTATTTACAGCATAAAAAAGTTTCCTCTGTTGAAAATAAAACCTCTTTCTAAGTTATACTTTTATTAAAATTCATGAAGTGATTGATTCTCTAGGTCAGAAAGTGCTGGGTGATTTCATAATGACTTGGCCTACTAAGAATGAAGGTAAGGACAAGATTACTCGGAGTAATTCATCCTGATGATCCACAAGTTGTGTTTTGGTTGTTGATTTGTTTGTTTGTTTTGTAAAAGTGGAATGAAAAGCAAATGAAAGAAGACAATGAACTTTCCCCATTGTCCCATGTAGTCAATGAACTTGGCCACAAGACCACTGTTCCGAGATGGAACGGGAAGGATACACAGGAGTGTATAATATATTGTTGATAACCTATCCCTAACAGAATGCTAGTTCTCTGTCATGTTAACAATGGGCGCTGTATTTCCCCCCCTGAAATTATCTGGGTGTCACAGTGTGTTTGGTATAAGCAAGATAACACAGTTGTTCCGGCTTTCAGAGTGACCACATCTCCTGCATCTAAAGGGGACACAGATGTTGGTATCTAGGGTTTAAATGCTTGTCACCAGGAACAAGGTTCCCAGGTTTAGGTTTTAGAAGGTAGTCGAAACCACTGGGACCGTGGAAAACAACCAGCTGACGGCAGAGCCAGCTCCCCAGCATTGCTTTGACTTGTTCTCCTTCACAAGCCCTAAGGACACTGGCTAAAGGGTTGCTATGTTCAAAGGAGAAGAGATGAACAGCACACATGAGAGAGTTAAAGGAGATTCCTTCATGTCTAAGGAAACACACTAAAAGATTTGAGCCCAGAGCAGAATCATTCTAAGATAAAATGTACAAACGAATGAAAGCTGGCCACCTTTTTTCCCCCCTTGTGGACCAGGGTGCCTCAGAGCTTTTATAAAAGTTCAAACACTCAAAACTTAAGAGTGAAAAGGAGTTTAGATGTGACCTAGTACCTAAATCTGGTTATGATTTGGACATTACAGTAACAGAAAGATTCTGTAGGCTCTGTTCTGATAAGCAGATCTACACGAGATGTACAAGGTCCCATTTCGCTCAACAAAACATTTGGTTCTTAACCATTCTGTACACATTCCAAAACATTTTAGGTCATTTTATCATCTCACATCTATGCCATGGAGTTGAAATATTTTTTTTCTCTTATGCAGAAAGAACACAAATGTGTTGCTCAGGTAAATCTTTGTGCAAATAACACATGTAAAAAAATGAGTAAATAAAGTATCAAGTTGAACGGGATTACTAAATTTCAAACACAGATCATGTGCTAATTATACTAGATGTAATTTAATCCATGATATAGTCCTCTTCTGGTGCTAATTCCAGTTTAGGGAAATAGGGGCCTGCCGAGTAGGTACTATCTCCCTTAGAGAACTTGTTATTTGAAGTATAGACACTCCTCAGGTCTAACAACCTTACACTAAGCACATCTGTAGGGTTAAGATTATATTCTCTGGCATTGCTTTTTAATTACTAGAATGAGCAAAAACAATTTTCATCTACACAGGTGTATGTAATAAAGTCATATTGCGAATCAGAATAAAATCTCCACATCAAATGTGTAAATCTTTGAGGAGCCTTCAAGGTCTGCTTACCTGAGCAAATGGAGTCACAATCAAGTCATCTCCATGTCTGAAAAACAAACCAGAGGCAGTGTTAGAAGTCTCCAACAGTTCTCTGACCACTTTTGATCAATATTAAATGGTACATTCCATTGCAAGAAAATCCCATTGGGAATTACAGTAACTCCATCTTTATCTTCAGTACATGTCCTTCCCAGCCTCTGGGTTGAAAACATGTCTTCCAGGATGTTACCCACTGTCTATCTCCCTTGGACAAAAGAGGATCTCCTTGGTTACCAACCAGTGTCAACGCTGCTTTTTAGGCACAAAGGATGTGCTATAAGTAGAAAAGGGTTCTCAGCTCTGGGCCTGCACCTTTCTCTAGACTTCCCATTGTAGATGTTAGCCAGGAATGCAGTGCAAAGAACCAGCTACAGAGCTGGCTTCTGTGAGAGTATCCTGGGCATCTAATATTTGTAGGTGATCAGCATCAAGTGATCTGTACGGTCATGTGTAAGCCTTGGATAGGCCAGAAGTCGTACATAACATAGGAGTGCATCATCCACTAATAAAAAACCCTACGAAACTTTTCAACTGACTTGAGTTCCAGCCACTGTACTTACAGGGGAATGTTACCATGTGGGTGCTGTTGCTAGGGTAACGTCAGCTCCAGTAGACTAGGGATACAAGAGCAAGGTGTCAGTGTGACATGTCTTGGGGAAGCAGGGAAATGCAAGAAGTCATGAAGTATTCTTCTTGGAACAAAGTGGGAACCTGGGACCTGGGACTCTTTGAAATATTTCTCAGCTTCGATAAGTTGAAGAAAGGATATCTTAAATCTCAGTGGTTATTTCTTAATCTACCCAGTCACAACCTACTTTATTTATTTCAATCATTTCATTTTACTTATCTTGGAAGATAGAGTTTGCTTGGTATACCAGGCTGATGTTAAATCTGTAACGTTCCCACCTTGGGCCTGTTAGTGCTGGGATTTCTAATAAGCACTGCCACACACACTTCAGAAAAAAATTATTTTTTAATTAAATGAGTGTAGTTATTTTACACAAACATTTCTTGACATAACCCCCACTGAGGGCAGTTCATTTGAACTATCAGCTTGTTCCTGAGCAAGTGACAAGGATCCACGTCCCCTAACCGGCATCCATAAGGCTTGCAGTACAAGGGGCAGAGAGATGATACTTAGAGTGGGTTAGCCCATGATGATGACCACCTTTGTGGCAAGAAGATTGGTACCTAGGGAATACTACAGAAAGAAATGCATGCAGAAACTTCCAGAGCAGACAGAATAAGCCACTGCAGGTCACTGTGGAAGTTAGTGTCATACTGCTCTTGAGTCCTCTGATGTGGAAGGAGGTACCCTATGTCTGTTCCCGTACCCTGGTCACCAGAGTGAAGTAAAAGCCATGCTTGTGGCCACAGGGAGTCCCACCTCTCAATCTTGCAAGAGAAGGACTTTCTGGCTCCTGGACCAATTCTACTGGGGATGTGCAGGACAGGCTCAGTGGTGTGTGTGGACAAGGAAAACGACAGTGCTCCCATCATCCATACCTGGTCACCTTACCCTCACCTCAGTGTGGAGGTGGTCCACACCATTGGTCCTTTCGACACTGTTTTCCACTCTCACTATTTCTGAACTAAAGATTCTGGGATGCAGACAAGAGACCAAGAGACTCAAAAGCAAACCTTCTTAGGTACAACATTTAAATACGGAGATGAGTCATCTAAAAGACTATGTTCAGCCAGAGTTAGCTCCTGCAAATACGATTACCTCAGTAACTCTTTCAAGACTGGGAATCGAAGGACATTGGCCCTTGTTAGTTTCAGTGACAGAGGCCTTTATGATGTTTCTTTTCCTTTTTTTTCTTTCCTTCTTGCACTCCCTCCCTCCTTCCTTTTTTCTATCCATCTTTCTTTTCTTATAAATACAGCATGCAATTCTGACAGGGCTGGAACTAGCTCAGGCTAGCCTTGAACTCACAGAGACCTACCTGCTTCTGCCTACTGGGTGCTGGGATAAAAGCCATGCCTCACCAAGCCCAGATACCTGCTATTTCTTAAAGTAAGAGTTCAAACCTTATGGTACATGTCTACAATCCCTAGTACTAAGGAAGCTGGGGCAGAAGGAACAAAAACTCAATGCCTGGTTGAACTACAGAGTGAGTTCAAGGACAGCCTGGGTAACTTAGCAGGACCCTACCTCCAAAACAAATGTATTTAAAGGTCTGAAATATACTTCAATAGTTTACACAAAGTCCTGTGGTCAATCTATAGTACCAAATACGTACACACACCACATACCACACACACACACACACACACACACATACATGTACAAATACATGCACACATGCACAAATAAATACCCACAAATTTCACTAAAATACTTTTATCAATAGAATGTGAGATTAAATTGTGATAATAATTGTAAATAGTCACTATCAATATGCAGCAATAATTAATATTTGTCAAATGACTCACTGTGCAAAGAATTTCAGAGTGAGCATCTCCTAGTTAATATCTATTTTTGTTGAGGAAAGGGAGTCCCAAGAAACACACAAAATCCTATGTCTGTAAAGAAATTTGAAGAGGATTCAAATTCAAGCTGTTTCAATTCAGGCTCTGCCTGTACACATATGTGATTCTCCATCTACCATGCACTTACAGAGCCAAAAGCACACCAGAAAACAGCACCGACTCTGCGGTGTAGCTCTCAGTTTATGAAAATGTCATTAAATTGATAATCAGACATTAACACAGAATAATAAAATAAAATTAAACAGGAAAATACAAACAACTAAACCAGTGCAGCCTTCCTGATGGCTTCTACACCCCACAACCTTAAATTAAATAACAGAGAAACTAGTAAAAGAGTATTTATTTACTTTTTGATCTAGAAATAGAGTTGTGGGCAATAGTTAACTAATATGCTTATACACAGGGCACAAGAGCTCTGAGGATGGCATATGATAGATATTTATATATTGATATCTGTAAGTTAACATGTATATTATAGAGTACACACACACATATATAAACATACATACATACACACACATATATAATGTGTAAAGAGAATTTCAGGCTCCTATTTTCTTATTATAAACATTTATTTTTCTGCTAGGTTTCAAAAAGAAAAAAGGACCTGGGGGACAAAATCCCATCTATCACCTGACAGTCAGAAGATTAACCTATGTAGCCTATTCTACCCCACAGGGAAACTTTTTATGAGACACTAGGTCTGTACATATTACATATGACTTCATATAATTCAAGAATACCATGTAAGGGCTGACGATACAGCTCAATGATACAGCAGTTGTTTAGCATGTGGGAGGCTCTGGGTTCCATCCCAGCACTCTCCTCCTCCACAATATCTATCCATCCATGTATTTTTATCATCTAACTTCAGAAAACGTTGTGATTTTAGAAGACATTTGGCATTCTATAATTTAAACTTCACTTCCTGTTAACTGTTTAATAATTAGTAGACAACACAATTATTAGAATTCAAACAACTATATTATAAAGAAGCTGGGGCACTTGTCAGGTAAAACCAAGAACCAATAGGTGCTTGAGGAGGAAAGATCATATGTCTCCACGTCAAAGGCCGTGCAATGGGCTCACAAAAAGGCAAAAAAGTGAAAGATGTCTCAAGAAAAGATCAAAACCGATAATGAAGCAGAGGTATGAGGAATGTTGTGCACTGTTCCTGGGATTAGAGGTGGGTATGGCCTCAGAGCAAAGAGTTCATCCAAAATCGAAAGCACTGCCTCTAAACATCCGTCATCCATTTCCAGGTGTATAGACAATACAAAATGGAAACAGCGTGTCACGAGCCACTATAGACAAGACACAGCCTCATCTTAAGTGTCTATCAGTAGGTGGAAATATGCCTACCTCATAGAATACTACTCAGGTTTTAAAGTGAAAATCGCTTGTTGTACGAGGTATAAACCTGACGTAGGCTATACTTACTGTAACAAGGCAGACGAATACTATATATCACATGAACGTGGACTCTTTAAAGAAACAAAACAAAACCCTGAACTTACAGGAAGTGAGTGTAAAGTGTTGGTTTCAGGGGCAGGAAATGGGGTTGGCCTTTAAAAGCCTCACAGGGAATAAGTCTATGAAATTCACAGCACAGATTGTTGACTATAAAAAGCAACAATGCACAGTACACTTGAAAATTGCCAACCAGGCGATTCTAGATTTCCTCACCACAAAAGCAGTAACTAGATAACATGATAGATACATTAATGAACTCAATCTAGTGTTTAAATTCATATTAAAAGTATTGTTGCGTATCTTAAAGACAGACAGCATCTCATTTGCAGCCTAAAAAATACATTTAAGAACCAATTAAGAGCCTGATCTTTGAATCAACACAACCAAACCAAACCTTAAGACCAGGTACAGTGGCATGTATCTGTAATCCTAGTACTTGGAAAGTGGAGGCAGGGGGATCAGGAGTTCACTATACAGTACTCAAAGCCAGCCTGGGTGACATAAGATTCAGTCTCAGAAACAATAGATGAAGCTAGGGAGATGATCAATCAGCAAAGCTTGCCTTACAAAGCTGAGGGCTTCAATTTGATTCCTAGAGTCCACATTATAAATAAAATCCAGGCATGGTGGTGCATTCTTGTAATCACAGCATTGGAAAAGATGGCTCCCTGGAGCTCACTGTGAGGCTCCCTACCCTACTACATTTGGTGAGCTCCAGACCGGTGAAGAACCCTGTCTTGAAACAAAATGTGGATGATGCCTAAGAAAGGATACCTAAGGTTGTCCTCAGGTCTCCTCATGTGTGTCCTTCATGTCCACATACGTGTACCTGAATACACACTAGCACATACACACACACATACACCTCAAAAATCAATAAGTAAACACATAATCTTAGTTTTTGCTTCACATGTGCTCAGATCCTCATTAAGAATGTGCATTGAGGGCTGGAGAGATGGCTGAGCAGTTAAGAGCCCTGAGTACTTTTGCAGAGGTCCTGAGTTCAGTTCCCAGCAACCACATGGTGGCTCACAACCATCT